ACTGAAGAGCTGTGCTGACCACCTACTGGCAGCGACCCAGAGCGAAGCAATAAATTACGACTCAGGTGTACAGCAGACAACAATCACTCAGACAGTACAAAAAAAGGCTACAGGGCAGTTGTGAGAAAAAAAAACAGATTGCAAGCAGTCAGATTAAAAAAAAAAGTGATTCTGTTGCTAATCCCTAACTGTATTCATCAAGACCAATGTCCACACTAAACTAACACTAACTTGCCATTAATTTTGCCAATGTTGACCTTTGTTTGACAACAGAAATCAGCAGAAGACATTAGCTGAAAACTCCAGAAAACAGCTATCATGTATAAACCACGCTATTGGGAATTCAGTTGACTGATTTTACACGGTGAAGGTTTTGTAATGGGATTAACTGATTTACTATAAACCATTGATTTTAATAAGGAAACGTTACAGGGTCAGCAATAAATCTTACATGGCTATACTAACTTCAATGCAGCTGATGTCAGTATAATAAGAGCTACTGAAACTGCACTTACAGTATAAATATACAGCAGATACAAAAGATGTTGCATTTATAGTTTACTATACTTCAGAGGGAGATATTGGCCTTTGAGGAAGTACAGTGTATTTTACCGGAATAATACTTGGACTTCAGGGCTTATATTCTAGGGGCAAGACTACAAAAAATAGAATTAAGAAATTTAGACAGTTAAGGGTGATCTGGTCAAAGTGTTCAAGCTTTTAAGGGCAGCAAATAGGGTAGATGGAGAAAAACTACATAACACTTTTGGAAGCACCTAGGGCCAAGGGACTTATTTTACAAATTAGAGGCTGACCTTTCAGGAGTGAAATTAGGAAAATCTTTCACGTACAAAGTGTGGTAGAAGTTTGATTCATTCACAAGTGCCAATTAATGCTGAGTCAATTTTTAAATATGATTGACCAAAACAAATTAATGGATAATGAGGCAAAGACAGGCACATGCAGTTAGGTCACTGATCAGAATTGATAACCTTAATTAATGAAGGATGTAAATGTGTTGGAGGCAGAGTAGAGAAATTACATTAGGCTAATACCTGGGATTGACACGTTGTCTTAGGAGGAAGGATTGGTAAGGCTAGGATCATATTCACTGGAGTTTAGAACGCTAAGAGGTGACTTGATTGAAGGATATAAAATCTTGAGAGGTCTTGACAGGTGGATGTGGAGAGGATAGAGGATATTTCTTGCTGTGGCAAAATCTAGAATTAGAGATTACCATTTAAAACAGTCAGGGATCGAAAATTTTTTAAAACGTTAGGCAAATGTTTTTCTATGAGAGGGTCACAAGTCTTTGGAACTCTTCTTGAAAAGGTGATGGAAGCAGAGTTCTTGGAAAATTTTTTAAGTGAAAGGTGCATAGATTCTAGTTAAGCAAGGGGGTGAAAAACTGTCAGATTAGGTGGTAACGTAGATTTGAGGTTACAATCAGACTCAACCATGATCTTAGTGAATGGTGCAGGAGGCTCGAAGAGTTGAATGCTTACTCCTGCTCCTGATTTGTATTTTTTTTTTTTTTAAAAAAGTATTTGAGGGGATGTGGGCAAGGCCAACATTTATTGGCGATCCTTCAATGCCCTTGAATGGAGTGGCTTGCTAGGCCATCTCAGTGGGCAGTTAACAGCCAACCATACTGCTGTGTCTCTAGTCATCTGTAGGCCAAACTAGGTAAGAATGGCAGATTTCCTTCCCTCAAGGGCATTAACAAGCCAGTTAGGTTTTTATGACAATTGATGGCAGCTGTTATGGTCACCACTACTGAGATCAGTTTTTGTTTAAAATATTCAAAATCTACTTACTGAACGCAATTTATGCCAGTTGCCATGTTGACTTTGAAACCTATATGGCCAGAATATATTAGCCTGGGCTACTGGATTACTAATCCAGTTACATTACTACTATGCAATCATCTCCCCAAAGCAGTTCATAGAATTCAGTGATGAAAAGATGACCAGATCCTCTGCTTTGGATTTTTGTTTGATGTTAAATGTTGACAGAGACACTGGGGAAAATCTCTTTCTGCTCTTTTCCCGGAATGTTGTGGGTTCTTCTACGTCAAGAGGTCTGATGGGGCCTCGGCTTAGCTTGTTGTTTAAAGAATGGGACACCTTCAGGACTACACCAAAGTGACTGAATTATGTCCTCAAGTCCCTGCACAGTGGCTCAGTGGTTAGCACTGCTGCCTCTCAGTGCCAGGGACCTGGATTCGATTCCACCCTCAGGCAACTGTCTGTGTGGAGTTTGCACATTCTCCGTGTCTGTATGGGTTTCCTCTGGGTGCTCCGGTTTCCTCCCACAGTCCAAATATGTGCAGGTTAGGTGGATTGGCCATGCTAAATTGCCCAGTGTCCAGGGACGTACCAGCTGGGTGGATTAGTCATGTGAAATGCACGGTTACATGGACAGGGTCAATGCGAACTCGATGGGTTGAATGGCCTGTTTACACACTGTAGAGATTCTATGATTCGATATGAATTTGGAACAGGAGTAGGAGTAGGCCAGGCAGCACCACTCCACAATTTGATGAGATAATGCCTGATCTGGTTGTCACCTCAAATCTACTGTCCTGTCTGTCTGCTGTAACCTTCAACTCCCTTATTAAACAAAAATTTATTCATCTCTGCCTTAAATAAATTTGATTTCTCAGCCTCTCCTCCCTTCTGGGGAATAAAATTCCACATACAAACGATTAAATTGGAGACCCTTATTTTTAAAAACGGTATCCCATAGTTTTACTCTCTCAGAAAGGGAAACATCCTCTCAATATTGACCCCGTCAATTTCCCTTTGGATCTTATATTTTTAATAAGATCACACCTCATTTATCTAAACTTCAATGGGTATAGGCTCTGGCATAAGATAAGCACTTCATCCCAGGAATCAGTTAACTGAACTTTGTCTGAGCCACTTCTAATAAAATTATACCCATTCTCAAGGAGACCAAAACAGTGCACAGAACTCCAGAGACAGGTTTAAATACAAAGCTGTCTGACTTAGAGGCAACAGTTTGACCACTAAACCAAAGCTTATGGAGAAAACCATTTTCTTTTGAGATTATGAAAAAGACTTTGACTACTTCCTTGAACTGTATAAACAAACCTGGGAAATCAATGAGATAAGTGAGATTTGCACCAATACATGCATCTATGGATTATTTTTCCAAGTGAGGTGCATCAGTTCAACAAAAAAAAAATCAATGGCTGAGAATGTAATGCTTAAACTAATGTGACGTGCTTCAGCTGAAACATTGCTGCTTTGATAAATTCTTTTCCCCAGGACATGGGATATTAGCGTGCAAAAATCAAAGATATTACTAATTTCAACACCCAGCTGAAGTCTTTGCCTAGGTAGGCACAGCACAGTACACTGACAACACCCAGTTCTACTTCACAACCAACTTTCTTGACACCTCCAGTGCCTCTAAATCAGCAACTAGTTGTTTGACATACATTAGTAGACAAAAAGAAAGTTCTTTCACCTAAATATAGGGAAAACCAAAATCATTGTCTTCTGTGTTTGGAAGAAGTCACAGACTCAGAACTTTGTTTCTCTCCCCATAGATGCTGCCAGACTTGTTGAGTTTCTTCAGCACTTTCTGTTTTTATTTCAGCTATCTAGCATTCAAAGTACTTTGCTTTTATGACTGTCTTCTGTCTCCATTACAAATTGCTCCCTAATTACCAACTCCATCCCTCCCCCAGCAAACAGGAGAGTGAACCAGGCAGTTTGCAACGTTAGTATCACACCTGACCCGAAGCTTCCAACCACATATCCATGTAATCACTCGGGACACTTATTACTATCTCCATAGCACGGTTCGACATCACCCCCGTCTTAGCTCACTGGCTGCTGAAACCTCCACCCCTACCGTGGTTATCTCTATAGCTGGCTATTTCATTGTACATCTGACCAGCCCCCTAAGTTTCACCTTCCCTAAAACTGAGTTCCTCTTAAAGTCCTATTCGCCCATCTTTCTTAAGTGCACAGTAAACTATGCCGGCTCCCAGTGCAGCATCATTTCAATTGTAAATACTGGCCGTCGCACCGTCTTTTAAAATGCAGTTGTTCCAATGGATCTTTTTGCATCCACCCGAGAGGGCAAATGGGATCTCAGTTGAGCAGCTCTCCCTCAAGGCTACACATGGAGTATCAGCCCAGGTTATTATACTCAGAAATGGAACAGATTCGATGTAATTCAACGGAGGGGGGAAAAGATATAGAGGAGGAAAAATGGGAATGGGGAATGGGGAATGGAGTGACCCGCCCCCATTCCCCAAACCAGTGGTAAGAGGCCTCCCTCATCACCATCCCAGCGCTGGTCACACCGAGGCCGCCTCCCAGCCTTTGACTGCCGGGATGTCAGGCCTCCTCCATCCCGGGGAGGCAAAGTGCTCGGGAGGCACTTCCCAGCCCTGGCACTTCCACTCACCTTTCACTAACGTCTCCTCCACAAAACCCGGGCAGCAGCTGACGAGCAAAACGCTGGGAACCTTCATCCCGACTCGACTCGGCTCGGCTCAGTCCGACCCTGAACTCTGACCTCTCACCCGAACAGCCGCCGGGGTCAAAGACGCCTTCACTTAGTACTGGAACTTGCCCTTTCGCTCCCCTCCAAACCGCACCATACAGGCGTTAGTACCTAAGTCTGACACGTCTAATGCCACATCTTACTCGTGCCGGCGCCTCGGTTTTCTTTCTTTTCGGCCTCGGGGAGTCGACGGGGTGAGGAATGTACCATTGTGCCGGAGGGGTGTCAACGCTGGCTTTCATCGCTTACAAGTGTGAGCAAGAAAAAATTCAAGGAATGACATGAGGTATATCAGTATATTTTATCGGTTGCATCTTGTAATAACAATGGAGATTGCTAGAGCTGAGAATGAGTAACTTTTCACTCACCGTTAGGTCAGTGATTTCCCTATTTCCATGTGGTAGAGGCTGTGTTCAGTTGCCATGGGAACCCAGGCGGGCCAGGAGGATGACAACAGGCAATGGAGGGATGGTGAGAGCTGGCAGAAACTGAACTATCCCCACACCATGGCAAACAGCAACACTGACGTGGGACACGTATTGGTCAAGGTACTTAAAAGGAGTAACTTTTATTTCTTTTAAATGAACCAAAGCCTTTATATGCCAATTAAGCTGAATGTTTCATCAACAAAGACAGAAATAGCTGGAGAAACTCAGCAGGTCTGGCAGCATCTTGGACAGAAAGCAGAATTAACCTTTCGTGTTCAGTGACCTTTCTTCAGGACAGGCTGAATGTTTCATTGCCTGGAAGCATAGACTCAAAGGCAGTTTTCAAAAGGGCATTGCAAGGTAAAAGGATTGCATTTCTGTAGCACTCCCCACAACCACAGCATATCTTAAAGCATTTTAAAGCCAGTGAATCAACTGTTGAAGTGCAGTTACTTCTAACATGTGGTAGCCAGTTTGCTTGCAGTGATCTCCCACAAATGGTGATGAAATAATAGAAACAAAAATTGCTGGAGAAATTTGGCAGATATGGCAGCATCTGTGGAGAGAGAAACAAAGGTGAAGTTTTGTGCCCAGTTCTGAAGAAGGGTTACTGGACTTGAAATGTTAAATTCAGCAGGTCTGGCTGCATCTGAGGAGAGAAAGCAGAGTTTCTCCAGCAATTTCTGTTTTTGCTTCCAATTTCCTGCACCAGTTCCTTGTTTTATTTTAGCAATGAGATAATGAAAAGTTAATCTGTTTTAGTGAAGAAGTCATTTCAAAGTCAAAAGATTAACTCTGCTTCTCTCACCACAGACACTGCCAGACCTACTGAGTTTCTCCAGGCTTTTCTGTGTTTGCCATAGGAAAAGAATGGGTTGAAAGATAAATATTGGAAAGGACATTGGAAGAGTTTCAGTATTCTACACAATAGTGCCATAGGATCTTTTACACCTGTCTGAGATGGAACATTTAATGTTTTGTCTGAAATATCATACCTCTAATTATGCAGCACTTCCTTGGTACAGCACAGGAGTGTTATCCTTGAATTTTGTATTCAAGTCCTGCTGCAGGACAAAATCTTCTGATTAAATAAGAGCTGATCCAATTCAGTGATAGTCTTCAAAAGAGAACTGGATAAATACTTCAATAGGAAAATACAAGTCAAAAATATGTGAAAAAGCTGGAGGGTTGGAACTAACTGAATAACAAATAACAAGTACTGGCAAAATGAGCTGAATGGTTCCTTTCTGTGCTGTAACATTCCATGTTGTCAATATTGTGTATGGACCAGAGGATTTCGGATTTAAGTACACAGGATAGGCAGTTTTATCATTAATAGTGCATTATACAATGTATTATTTAATATTGGTCAGTTTCAAGTGTTATTACACATTGGAAATGATGACAAATTGTGTTCAGTTGAAGGGGAAAGTAGGATTATAGGGCAGGACCTCGGCATGCAGCTGCAATTCACTTGCCAATGTAAAATTAATATATGTTCTTTATATTTTTATTTATTTTTATGTAGTATTACTTAAAAATATTTATCTGTTGAGGAGATGAATACTAACTGCCTTACACAGGTGAAAGATGGGACACTTACAAAGTGTAAAAGATTAGTGAAGACATATGTCGGTCCCAAACAATTAGAAATAGAGGCAATTATAATAGGAGATAAAGAAATGGCAGGTGAATCGAACACATTTAAGTTCTGACCTACTGCAGTTGTGCCGGACATTGGTGAGAGTACACATGGTATTTTGTGTAGTTTAGTTCTCCCTACCAAAGAGACGGTATACTGATCATGGAGGGAATTTAGCCAAGGTTTACTAGGCTGCACTAGGGATGGCAGGACTGCCATATGAGAAGAGATTGATTCGACTGGGCTTGTGTTCACTAGAATTTAGAAGCATGAGAGGGTATCTTATTGAAACATATAAAATTCTAACAGAGCTGGACAGACTAGATGCAGGAACGATATCCTTGGTTGGGGCATCCAAAACAAGGGGTCACAGTCTCAGGATATGGGGTAAGACTGAGATGGGGCAATATTTCTTCAGTCAGTGTGTGGTCAGCCTCAGAAGGCTGTGAGGCCTGGTCGCTGGGCATACTCAAGATAGAAATTGATCTTTTTTTTAGATATTAAAGACAGAAAGGTGTATTGAGAGAAAGTGGTAATATAAAGAATCAGGCATGGTCTTATTGAAGGATGGTGCAGGCCCAAAGTGCCAAATGGCTTACTTCTGATCCTAGTTTCTATAATTCAGCCCCTATTTTAAAGCTTTTCCTTATTTTTATGTAGTACTTCGGCACAATTACTGTAGTTCATGTTTCAGGGAAACTGAGTAGTTGGTGGGATGTAACCTGAAGATGTTCAGAACATAAAGCATTATATGTTTGGATTTTTACTTGGTAAACGTGACATTTATAATTTTAATCAGCTACATCTGCAGTCACGCTGATGAAAGATGTTTAAATAATACATTTGGACTTCCAGAAGGTGTTGGACAAAGTACCTCACAAAAGGTATTGGAGGTGGTATATCAGCATGGACAGAGATTTGGCTAATGGGAAAGAAGCAGTGAGTGGAGATAAGGGATTCTTTTTCATGTTGGTGACTTGTAATAAGTGGGGTTTTACAGAGATCAATGCTGGGACCGTTATAATATATTAATGACTTGGAGGAAGGAAGTGAATATACTGCAGCCAAATTTGCAGACAACACAAAAATAGGTGGAAAGTCAGGTTGCAAGGGGTATACAAACAAGTTACAGAGAGGTGTTGATAGGTTAAGTAAGTGGGCAAAAATTTAGCAGTTGGAGGATAATGTGGGTACATGTGAAGTTGTTCATTTTAGAAGGGTGAACAAAAGAGCATAATATTATTTAAATGGAGAGAAAAAAATACAGAAAGCTGCAACACGAAGGGACTTGGGAATACTGGTTCATTAAACATAGAAAACTAGCACACAGAGATAGTAGGAACTGCCGATGCTGGAGTCTGAGATAACAAGATATAGAGCTGGATGAACACAGCAGGCCAGGCAGCATCAGAGGAACAGGA